GGCGAGGATATGGCCAGCTGTTAATAGAACTCAGTAAGTTTTATGCAAAAATTCCATAGAAATTCGTTTGTTTCCCTGTGTATAAATTGTACGTAAAACCGTTTCTCGCAAAAATTTTTTGGATAAGGCTACGAACTTTCCAAAAAGGAACAAAAAATCGGGTCACCAGAACGACCGATATCAGACTTGGGGATTAAGGGATATCATTCTTACTGGAAACGCACGATTTTAAGAATTCTTCAAAGTCATACAGTCGGTACACTTAAACGAGATTCTCCAACGGAAAATGTTGACGATAACGAAAATTTTATGATTTCTATTAACGAGATTTCTAAGAAGACGAGCATCCGTCAAGATGATGTCACAAATGCTCTACGTGAGATGAGTTTTCTCAGATATAGAAACCCTAAAGTTGATCTCGGGACGATAAATAGCGCAATTAATCATGATGATAGTGGCAACGATAATCTTAGTACTGGCGGAGTCGAAAGACTCATTGACCAAGATAACAATAGAAGTAACAATCAACAAACAGATATGCAACGCGATGAAGAATCAACACTTCATATCCATCACCACATCATTTGCGTTTCCCGCCGAATGGTCGATAACTACATAAGGAACCATGGTGTGAGGCTTGATAATAGGATGTTTGACATCTGTGGTCTCAAATGGGCCCCGAATGTTCAAAATCGTAACGGCTCCAAAATCAATTAATAAAAAGTCAAAACTTGACTGTTTCCGATTTATCGAACAATATACTCTTTTTCACACCGAAATTAGGTGTGTGTACCTAATTCTTTCTAATAAGCCAAATGACAGTGAATTGGATCTTTATTTGAATAACCGCAACATATACTTGAGATTTAGATATGGTGTCTAAATGACTTATTTTCAGCTATTCTAACGTAATTTTTGACCAAGGTCTTCGTAACACGTTACACAAATTAGCCTGCTCTTGGTATCATACGATATTAGGGGTTCTGTAATAACAGATTCCGTCTGACCCTTAGTCGCCAAAATTTCATCCAAGATCCAGATGTTAATAGCTCCATCCGAAGAAATGGATGCTAAAAGTGCGACAGGGTTTGAACGGTTAGGTGGCAGCGAGCGAATTACGGACAAGCCCTTGACTCTATAATCGATGAAGGTAAGTCGTCACGATCTGTGCAAAATTCAAAGATCAAAATCAATTAAATGTTGAATACCGATTCTTATGTCCCGACAATTTCGCGATACAATCTCCCCGTTTGACATCGTATATCCTCACGGTCTTATCCTCGCATCCTGTAATTAGCAGATCTCCCATATTTTCATGGGTATGGTACTGCATACATAGGTACCGTGAATTTCCAGGTTGGAATCTCTGCGAGACTTGGGCGGTCTGACCATGTGATATCAAGAATAAACAATTCCTAATTTCTTAAGGAATGGCGATATTTCATTTCTATTCAGGAAATTTTTGTTCCGTCGACTTACCGAAGTGTCGTATAATTCGATTTCGTGTGTTGTCAGGATTGCGTATTGTTCACCTGATGGATTCCATAAAACGACTTCTCCCTCTAAGGAAAAATGAAAAATGAAAGAGATTCCATGCCTGTCAATCAAAAATTCATGGTCAGCCACCCAAGCCAATCACGCCGTAAATAGTAAACAGTTACCTCTTCCAAGATTGTTAACACTCGCCT